TAGCTGCGCTCGAGGTACCAAAATGGGAAAAAAGCCAAGGACCCCACTGAACTTGACTTCAACTTCTGTAGTATTCTCTCTCTCTCTCTCGCTCGCTCTCTCTCTCTCTCTCTCTCTCTCTCTCTGTCTCTCTCTCTCTCGTTGCGCTTCTCTGCTCTGTCTCCCTCTGCTGTTGTCTCCGTCTGTCTCTCCCACCCCCAATTTTCTCCTCGCCTCTTGTTCTTCTCTCTCCTCGCTCCGGAATCCGGCTGCTTTTATCACAGAAATCCCCGCGGATGCACGGGCGTGCAGGGGCGTGCACACACACCCACCCACCCACACACACCCACACACACCTCCAGCCCCCAAGCCTTCTATGCGGGGTGATTGGCTCCTTGTAGACCCCCCCTACCCCATGCTCCCCCATGTGTGTCAAAGCCAGGAAGAGTCAAGGAGTCTTTCTGAGGAAAGGAGGGCATGCTTGGGCACCTTCCTGCCTCAGGGCCGCCTGGCCCAGCCTGGGTGTCAGCCCAGGCGGACCCGGGCGTGGAGGTCCTGCTCCAGCCGCCCCACCTGCCTCATCCCAGCTTCCCAGGGCTGCCCTCGAGGTCTCTCGGTTCACAGGACCCTCTTCCCATCCCCTTTCAACCCTAGCTCCAACAGCAGCCTCCAGCCTCCTGGGGGAGTGGGGATGCTGAGAGTCACTGCGACATCCCCTGAGCATTCCCTCAGCTGGGAGAAGCCTATATCTGGCCTTGACCCTTAGTGTTCTGATGCGTCCGTCCACAGCCTGCCTCAGCAGAGCCCTGGTGTGGCTGATACACGGCATTCCAGCCGGAGCTCCAGCTGCTGCGGACCGTCAGCCCACGTGCAGTCTGCTCGGGGGCCGGTGAGGCGCCGAGTTCCAGTTTATGAGGGACCCGAGTGATACACCATGCAAGAACTCTTTAGAAGAGGGCAGATGGTGGCTGGCGTGGCTGGGTGACAACCCCAAGGTTGCTGGGCATGTAGGTCTCAGCTTTCCTCAGGAAAGTACATAGAGACTACAGCCCTTCTGTCCCTTTGTCAAGACCCTGAGTGGAAGGCGTGTGGATCAGGGCTCCCCGCCCTCTCCAGGGGCTGTGTTTGAACACTCTGCGACTCCATGAGACCCCACGGCAGGTGTCTGAACCTCGCTGAGCCTCAGTTTTCCTCTTTACATTTCAGGGCTCTGAGCAGCAAGGACTAAGATGACGTGTGTGCCCAGATTTGCCTCCCAGAGAAGGGTGTGGAACAGAATGTTCCCAATCACCTCACTGCTTAGCCACTCATGTGACCTGGGGATTTCAGGATTGGATATACGTCTTCACTGGAGACTTGGCATGTGACATCAAAGTGAGGTGTGTCCCCCCTGCATCCAAAGTCTTTGACCCCACAGATAGCCAGCCATGAGCGAAGTACCTACGTCCTGTCCGTAGAGTAAATAACTAATATGCTTCCAGGACACACGGGTCCATGGTGCTCACAATTCAGTGTTCATCAGGATCATCTGATACACTCAGGGTGCTGGCTAAAGTGTTAGATTCCTTCCTTCATAACTCCAGGGTTTCCAAGTCAGAGGGTCTAGGGATCTGCGTTTTTAATGAGCCCCTCCGGTGACAGGGAGGAGGCTGGTTCATGGCCACACCCTGGGAGCACCTTTATGAGAAGGGCAGGTGGGCCCCCTGGACGCCTACTCATTGCCTGGGCACATCCGCCAACAACGACCTGATGTTCTGCCCTAGAGACAGTCACTGAAGAGTCACCAGTGTGTTGTAGGAAGCACAGTATAAAGTGGTAACGAGTACTCTCTTAGCGTGTCCAAACGTTATCACACTTCACTGAATCCCCGCGACGATGACAAGAGCTTTTCATATTTCACAATCCAGACATGAGGACACCTAGGCTGAAAGAGTTTAAGTGACGGAGTCGGTAAAGAATGAAGTCAGCATCTCTAGCTCCATAGATTGGCCCCTTCGGCACACTCCAGAAGTCCTCGGTCGCCTTCTCAAGCAGTGTCCTTGCTCTGGAACTTGCAACATCAAAATGATACTGGTGACCCCGGAACCAGGTGCAACAACAATAAACCAAGGACCAGACACACGTGCACACGCACGCACACAGACACCGATATCGTTTTGAAGGTCATTCGCTTTCAAAATTCTAAAAGGCGAGATTGAAAACTAAACGCCAGAGAGACACTCAGAATATTTGAACTTAGTTTCCTAAAATGCGGAGGCTCATTTTTTTCTGATTGTAAACAATATTTCCTGCCCCAGTGGGGCTGTGGGAGGGCTGACCTCTATCGTGACCAGGTCCTCAGTCCCCTTGGATTCAGCCACACTTAGCCTCCTTGAGCACAGGTACCTACACAGACCCAGACATAGGCAGTGAGGTCACACTCACCAAGCAAAGGAGATGCCTGTTCCTGTCCAGGCCTTGACACGGGGTTCCCACTGCCCCTTGTGAAAAGAATCCAACCCACTCGATTAGGGATGCTGAAGCACTGGAACTTGGAGTCAGGGGACCACACTGTGACCACACCTGTATGTCACGTTTCTCCAAACTGGAGAGAAGTTACGGGATGCTCATGACAGCATTAACATGAATCATTAAATGCTGTGACTGGGCCCCCAGAGAGGGTTCAAAACAGGATTGAGCCTTATTGTTTTAGATGGGTTAATATAGTTCTACACAGAGGCAGGCACATACACACACTGCCGAGCATCCTAGCCGCAACCCCACAGCATAAATATCATGAGTCCATCTTGACAAGTAAAGGAGCTGAGACCCAGACAGGTCATTAATTTGGTCAAGGTCACTCCAGGTAGGCATCGATAGAAAGATAGAATGAATTGATTAAGATGGCAGAATCATTACATGAATTGGAATCTGAATCTATTGGACATTAAAATCCATGTTCTTTGCAGTGTATTTATCACACATGAGTGCTTGCATACGTACGCACAACACACATACTCCTCGCGAGAGGCTGGAGACTGACGCGGTTGTCTCCATGGCTATCTTTAGAAAGAGGTGAAAGATTTACATAAACTGAACAGAAACTGGAACATCACCAGTGTCCCCCAAGCGAGGTCCCACCAAAGTGTCATGGACACAGAGAGCCCATTCCTTTGGGGAATGGAAAGATTCTTGATTTCTACAAATGGAGTGCGGCCTGGGAGCTGGCATGCCAGGGGGAGGGAGGTGTCTGAGCAAATGCCTACAGGCCTAAGCCTGGTGCGCGTTCGTGGTTCTGGAGAGAAGGTGGGCCTACAGGAAGGCTGGAAAGAAAGGTGGCGGCAAGTTCAAATGCCAGCCCAATGCCAGGCTGAGGGACAGAAAGGTCAGTCCCTTTCAGATGACGACTTCTGGGACCTGGAGCATCTAGCCATCCCGGGCAGACATCCCTGCCTGCCTCCCTACCTGAACCCACCAGGCGCCATTTTCAAAGCACTTACACACCTGCTATTTCCTGTGACCCTGTAGAACTCTGGGAGTTCCAGGATTGACACAGAGATGGAAACAGATTCTAGAGGGGACATTCTTTACCAAAGGACATGTGGCTGATGAGTGGCAAACACCGGGGCCTGGACTCAGAGCTCTGACTCACTGTCCAGTGCTCTCTCTGCTGCCAGCTGCTGCCCACTCTCGGACTGGGGGTCCCTCTCCAGGATCCCTAGCCCAGCCCTCGAGCTGAGCAAGCAGAATCAGTTGGCCAGCAGAACCCCCAGGCTCACTTGCCCATTACTAAGAAGGAGAGGAATCGGCTTTCTAGAGAGGTCCTTTGCTAATCCTGTGTCTCCATGGCTGTCCCAGGCCCCGCGGGCCAGGCGTGGAAGGAAGTGGGCCCAGCGGAGGGGAGAAGCCTGAAGTCTCGGTAGATGACCTCCTAGGAGAAGTCGAGGCACTGTTGTCTGAGGGGACTCAGGGCACTAGGAACATTTGTCGAAGGCTCGCTGTGGTCCAGACACTCTGCCTACCTAATCTCATTTCATCTTCACAGTGGCCTTATCCGAGAGAGCCTATCATTACCCCCAACCCACAGATTAGAGAACTGAGATTGGAAAGGTTAAGCAGTGTCCCCAGGGGGGCCAAGCTAATGGGGGAGGCGATGAGCGCCCAGGCCCGCCTGACTAGGCACCTATCCATGTGATAACTGTGACTCTGTTCTGATGCCCAGATTCGGTGCGCCTAATCTCTCCTGTTGATGCCCGATCAACCATCACTCCCTTTCTTCCCTCCTCTGCTTCTCCTCCCAAATCGGACCCTGGGGCCGAAAGCCAGCTGGGTGGTGTAGGAAGTCAGTGTGTGATACGTACAGACCCAAGAGCTCCCCGTGGACCCAGCCTTCTGCTGAGCACTTTATATTTGCTTCCCAACTTACAGTTCCTAGGACGGGCATTGCCATCCCACTTACAGACGGGGTGACGGAGGCTTGCAGCTAAGCAGCTTGCCTTGGTCTCACAGATAGCCTGTGGCAGATGAGATCAGAATGCCGATCCTCCCCCAGCTCAGACCTCCATCACCTAAACCACAGTTGCACCCCCCACCCCACAGCTGGGAATACAGAAGGAGATACAGTGCAGCTGGAGTCTGCCTGGCCTGTACATGGAGCCATTTCTCCCCACTGAGCTCACCAAGCCCACACAGCCAGCCAGTGAGGTTTGCACTTTGCCTTGAAAATCCAT